ATTCCTGCTTCGTAGACGTCAAGTTTGTCTGGGCCTTCTACCTGGGCTGTAGCACGTTCACCTTCTATTTGAGGTGGGGCCCAGGACCTGATGCTCCTGTGAGGGGAGGGCCAGAAAGTCCTGCACTGACATCCTTGACCCCCAACTCCCGCTCCCCGACCACAGAAACCCAGATCCTGTCGATGAAGCACACCAGACGGAAAGCCTTGCTCGAAACAGCACTAACTGTGAACTCACGTATCAGATGAGGATGTGGGGACGTCTTCCCTCCACAAACTTTCAAAATTGCGATCGCTGTTTACCTGCCCTGGGCATAAGCTCCAAGTAAGGAGCCGGGAGTCTGTGTCCCCACGCCCAGGACCTGGAGTCTAGGCTTCCTAGCAGCTTCCTCCTTCAGCCCCAAGCATCCTAGCCTCCTTCCCCTTCCTTTTATGGAGACCCTAGAATTGGGGCCCCCCGTCTGCCAGAACGGAAGGTTGCAGAACCCACAGGAAAGAATGATGCATCCCCCAACTGTCCCCTCTGGCTACACCTCCCCCTCCCATTTAACTCACACCCTGGCCTCACTCACCACACCCCACCTCTGGGCCCCCAGGCCTCTCTCTCACCTCTTACAGGAAGCCCCCTCTGGCGTGGAGGGCTCCGAGGGCAGGAGGTATAGAACCTTCTGTAGAGACACACTCCACCCACCCAAACCACTGACAGTGTGACATCTCCAGGGCCCTTCCCCCACCATATACTGTGAGGAGAACCTCAAGGGGTGGGGAGCGGGTGCCGATGCAAGCCGGGAAGGGAGGATGTGTGACGAGAGTCAGCTGCCAGGAACTGGGTGAGACCAAGCTAGTCTGATCTGAAGGACCACAGGTCCCCCAGCTGCCCCAACTGCTTGACTCTCCCAGGAGTCCGGGGGGCAGATCTTTCTCCTTTCGCAGAGACCCAGGAATCTGGATCACCAGGCTCTTCATCACCCAGGACCCAGAAACCCAGCCTTCGCCCCCATGGAGCCCTGCCGGTCCCTGGCCCTGCTCACTAGCTCCCTGGGCCTGTTGTCTCTCTTGGTGGCTCTGAGCACGAATTTCTGGTTTGTGGCCGAGGGGCCCAGCTTCTTGTCTCACTCGGGCCTCTGGCCAAGAGGAGATCAGGGCTCAGTAGAAGGTAAGGGGGAGCGGTCTCTCTTGGGGTGGGGAAGGGCCTGAGGGGACGGGCACTCAGCGGTCCCGTCTCTGAGCAGGCTATATCCACGTGACACAGAGCTTCTGCGTTCTGGCTGTCCTCTGGGGCCTGATCTCTGCGAGCTTTCTGGTCATGTCCTGCATCCCTTCACTGTCTGCTCCTGGACGCGGCCCCATTGTCTCGACCTTCATAGCCTTTGCCGCAGGTAAGGACTCCGGGCTGCGCTTGGGGTGCTGGGACCTGGTGAGTTTCTGCGGAGGGGCTGAGCCATCCCTCGTGTCTCCGTCCCCAGCCCTGTCCCTGCTAGTGGCCATGGCGGTCTACACCATCGAGCGGTGGAAGCAGCCTGGACACCCCCAGATCCATTCTTTCTTCTCCTGGTCCTTCTACCTGGGCTGGGCTTCAACTGTCCTCTTTCTCTGTGCAGGTGACTGCTGCCCTGGGGAGTTCCGGGGGTGGATAGGGGCCCAGCTGGGGGCCCTGAGGGGGCAGGGCAGGAGCGAGGGTTTAACTTCTCTCTGCCAACCCAGGTGGCCTGAGTCTGGGAGCTCACTACAGGGCCCACCGGCCTGGCTACGAGGCCATGTGAACCACAGGATGGCTTTGGCACTCCATTCTCTGAAGGCGTCACCAGGAACCATGAAAACAGCTGGCTCTCCTTCTTGCCCTGACTCTCGGTGTCTGCAAGCTCTTTCCTCTGTGTCTTCATTCATTCAACAAAAATTTGCTGGGATCTGGTTATTCTGAGGTTAACTTTTCTTGACTCTCGGTGCCTGCAAGCTCTTTCCTTTGTGTCTTCATTCATTCAACAAAAATTTGCTGGGATCTGGTTATTCCGAGGTTAATGCTGCAACAACGGAAGCCGACGACACTGCAGCTCCACGGCAGATGACACTGGGCACCCAGAGAGGAGTCAATCCTGCTACCTGCCCTGCCCTAGAGATGCTCCCACCAGAGTGGGAACCAGTGTGGGATCAGGCATGGCCCCAGGGCCCTTGTCTCTCCATCCTTTATCTCTTTTCTTCCCTTTGTCTTTCTCCCTTTAGCTCTTTTCTTTTGCCGTTTCTGATTCTGTCACCCTTGCCTTTGCCCTTAGCGCGCCTTGCTCATTTCATTAATAAATTCACTCTTGGGACTTCCCTGGTGGTCCAGAGGTTAAGAATCCATGCTTCCACTGCAGGGGACACGGGTTCAATCCCTGGTCAGGGAACTAAGAACCCACAAGCCGTGGGGTGCAGCCAAAAAAAAGAAAAGAAAAAGAAAAAGAACAAATTCACTCTTTCAGCTGGTTTTCCTGAGTGCATCCTTTCTGCTGGGCCTCCCACTGGGGATGCTGAGGTGAGTCAGATCAGGCCCTGCCCGCCAGGGGCTCCAAGTCCGGTGGGGGCAGGCAGAGCCCAGGGCGGGTGTGGCAGGAAGACTGGCTGTGTCTGGAGGAGGGGTGTGGTGTGGAGGTGAGCTTTCTGGGGAGACGGTGTTTAGGAACTTCTCCAGGGCCGAGGGAAGGTAATGCAGGCAGAGGGACCCTAAGGTGAAGGCGTGGAGAGGCTGGGAGTTCTCAGAGGATGGAGAATAGTGCTTTGTGGTCCACTGTAGAATGTGAGCGTGAGGGGAAATGAGGATGGAGAGGTGGGTAGGAGGCAGCACCTCTAGCTCAGCAGTTGACTGTCTCTTGAGGGTGATGGAGAGCTAAGGGTGTGAGCAGGGGAGGGACAGCGTCTGGCCTGGGTGCCAGAAAGCTCCTTCTGGGGCCCATGGGGGAGGCTTGAAGGGGAGAGAAGAGCTTGGCAATCCAACAGGTGGGACATGAGACAGGACAAGGGTGCACTGGGGCCAGGGCATGAGAGGGAAAGGAGCAAAGGAGCCAGGAAGTTTCAGGGGGTGGGAGGAACTGGACTCAGGGATCCAAGGGCTTCGTAGGGTGAGGGGCAGGAAGAGGGCAAGGATAGTGCCCAGGGGTGTGGTCCAACTAACTGGATGGGGTGATGGTGTCCTCCCTGGTTTGGTGGAAGATGCTGAGATCAATGGGGATGCGGTTGAGTGTCAGGGTCTGGGAGATGGTCAGAAGCAGGTGAGGACCTAGGCTGGAGATGCAGTGTGGGATGCTCTCAGAGCATCAGTGGTCACTGGAGCTCACCTGGCAAGAAGATGCAGAATGGAATTCTCCAGGAGAACCGGCCTTGAGAAGTGGAGGGAGGGGCAGGAGGCTGCATGGGGGCCTGGGAGGGCACAGAGAGCTGGAGACCAGGAGAGCTTATGGGGTCAAGGGAAGAGCAGTTTCTAGAAGGACACGGGCTACCATGTCATGGCCTTCAGGGTCCCCCAGACTTGCCACCTGACTCTGAGCTGTCAGTTTGCCAGAAGAGCTGCGTGTGTGTGTGTGTGTGTGTGTGTGTGTGTGTGTGTGTGTGTGTGTGTGTGTGCGCGCGCGCGCAGGCGCGTGAGTGGTTATCTCTTTAAATGGCCACTAGAAAAGGGGGTTCTGGAACTCCTGCTGCCTCACAGAGACCCAGTCTCCCTTCCCCCACCCTCTGGGCTCTGTCTGAGAAGCCCTGGGAGCTGTGGGTGAGTCATTTAGGTGGGTGTGTGGTGGGGAAGGCAAGGGACAGGCCAAAGTCACGTCCACTGGGGGATGGAGGTCTCTGGAAGGCAGAGGTTCCTAAGCAGTGATGCCTGAGGGGGCAGGTGGTCTTGGGTCTGGGAGGGGCCTGACGGGGGTGGTCCCAGAAGTAGGGGCACCAGGCAGGGGTGCAGGGGTAGCCATCTGGGATATGGAGGGACATGTAGAAGGGGGTCTCAGGAACCTGGGGGTGGGAGGAGCGTTGGCCAATCCTGCATGTGTGGTCCTTGGCAGCAGCCTCCCTGGCATGGGGGTGAAGCGGAGCCTTCAAAGCGGTGGCATCTTGCTGGGCTTCTTGGCCAACATCCTCACCATTCTGTCCATGGCCACCAACTACTGGATCCGCTACTCTAGGGGCCACAGTGGCCTGTGGCAGGAGTGTAGCGGGGGCAACTGCTCCAACATCTCCTGCCACAGTGAGGCCCGGCCGCCCAGCTGTCAGACCCTCCCCCCCCTACTGGCCAGACAGCCCCCCAGCACTGACCACAGCTGGCCCCCTCTCCTGAAACCACAGCCCCGCACATCCTGCGGTGCCCCCGCCCCCAGCCCTTCCACTTCAGCCTAAGATCCGGCTGCCCCTCCGTGACCAGGCCACCAGGAACCCCAACTCGGGGACCTGCCTCCCTGTTGCAACATTAACCGCCGCTCACGATGTAACTTCCAAGTCCCCATCCAAAACCCTGACTCTGCTCCCAGCTCGGAGCCGGCGGATGGGGGTGGTGGCCAGGAGCGGCGCCAGCGTGGTTGATGCGGCCCGCTCTCCCCAGCCATGCTGGCGGTGACCGGGGCGTGCATGGTGCTGGCGGCAGGGTGCAGCATCGTGGGCTTGGTGATGGGGCTGCGGATTCTGTGCCAGGAGGGCGACTCGCGGGGCCGGACCACGAGTGCCATGTTCTTCCTCTGCGGTGAGATGGCATAGGGTGGGCCTGGTAGCTGGAGGAGGTAGGGGCCTCGAGGGGGAGGAGCTAAAGAGGCGGGGTCAGGGGCGGGGCCAGGGAGATGGGGTAGAGCAGGGACGGGAGGGCGGGCAAGAAGGGCGTGGTCTGGGGCGATGGGCGCGGTCAGGGTGAGGCCTGGGTGCAGCCCCCTGGCCACCCTCACCTGGCGGGTGGGCGGGGCCCAGGCCTGCTGCTGCTGATCGCCATGACAGGCTACACAGTGAAGAATGCATGGAAAAACGACGTCTTCTCCTGGTCCTGTTTTTCGGGGTGGCTGGCTTTACCCTTCTCTGTTCTCGCGGGTAACCTGGATAACGGAAGAGGGTGGAGAGGAGACTGCCCCGAGGACCCACCCCCCCTCCCTGCAGAGACTCCCCAGCTGTCCTCCCAGGAAACACCACAGTGACCTCCCAGGGACTCCTGAACACACTCCACTCTGGGCTCCCGCGGACCCGACAGAAACGCCCTTGGAGCCCCAAACCCCAGTCCCCGGGGCCCTCCCGGCCATCCGCCCTAGGACTCACCCTCCTCCACCCGCCCTCCGTTCCCTTCCCGCCAGGCTTCTGCTTTCTGCTGGCGGACATGATCATTCAGAGCACGGATGCCATCAGTGGATTCCCCGTGTGCTTATGACCGCAGCTTCCTGGGGCAGAATAAAGGAACTGCTTCCATTGCCGCGGCTCCACGTGCCTTTCTGGGGTACCTGAGGACGCGGACACGGGGGTACCTGGAGGCTCAGGGAGGAAGTAAGGACACGAACCTATAGGGAACGTGGAGACATGGGGGGACACGGGAACGGAGATTCGGACATGGACAGGACAAGGGTTTTGATGGGAACAGGGACAGGGGGTAGTGGGGTCAGGAGGTGACAAGGGCTCGTGGAGAGGATGTAGGGATACAGACATGGAGGAAAAGTGGAGACAGGGACGGGGGAGGACGGTTATGGGGGAACGTAGAGGCACGATCATAGAGGGGATGAGGAACACGGGCATGGAGAGAATGGGGGGACTCGGACACATAGGCACCGCGACTCAGGAGACGCGAGTAAGAGGTGGGGAACTAGGGGAGAGAGCTAATCCTAGGGCACTGGGAAAAGCTTAGGACTACTCATTGGAACCCCTCCCTGGCAGCGCTCCCCTCCCCCCAAGACCTTTCCCCTAGTTCTAGGCCACGCCCCCTTCACAAAGCAGTTTTTCCCTTCCCCTCCGGGTTCCGCCTCCCTCCCCAGGATCCTCTCCCCATTGGCCCGCATCCGCTTGCCGCACCGCCCTTCCCTCCGGCCTCCTGATTGGTCCTCTGTCGGGGCGGGGAGGCGGGCACCGCAGCGGTTGACTGGCTGGTGGCGCGGGGCGCCGGCGCAGAGAAGGACAGGGGGCGGGGCGCCCGGACCGTAAGGCCGAGGGTGAGGACTGACCCGGCGGGTCGCCGCGGAGGGAAGATGGCGGAGCTGCGCGCGCTTGTGGCTGTCAAGAGGGTCATCGACTTCGCCGTGAAGGTGACCGGGCCCCCCCCTCCCTCCTCCCTGAGCCCCGCGGCCGTATACTTCCGGGGTCAAGAGCGCACACTGTATGAGGGTCTTCTGGTACCTCTGATCCTCAGCAGCTCTTCCCTCAAACGTCAAAGTCACACCTGAGGGCAAAGGTCAAGAACTGAGAGGTTCTGACGCCCGATCCCTCTTCATTCAAACCCAGCCCTTCTGGGTCATGACCCCGTTCCCCTTCCGCCAGTTCTGTACTCACTCTCTTGAGAATTGTGTGCAGGGTGAGTTACTTTCTCTTTTTCTTACCTGCTGGAGGAGCCGTGGTTCCTGTTTGACACACGCAGAAACTGAGGCACAGAGGGGTCACTTAGCTGGGAAGGGGCACACCCGGGATTCCTATCCAGGTCCCTCTGACTCCTCATCCCAACTAGTGTTTTCCATACAATTCAGGCTTTCACCCGGCTGCATTGCACACTCAATTGACTGTTCAGCACAGAAAAAGTGCTGTCAGGGAGGTCCTATGGGAACCCAGAAGCTATCACAGCCCCAGG